AATTTACAACAAAAGCACTACAATTTGAGTTGTAAGGTACAGCAGAAAGCAATGCACTAGTGTACCTATGTACATATGCACGTATGTATATATGTACAAACAGTTGTCCACAAAATAATAGAAGTGCGATATTTTGACTAGTTTTGACCAATTGTCTTGTTTATTTTCTTGATTATTTTAAAATAAAGTTTAGCTGGCTATAAATTCACAATTTAAACTTTTTCAAAAATTGTAAAAATTTCACAAATATTTCAAACTTTTTAATCAGAACCTTAAGAAAAACTTGTGGTATGCAGTTTTGTAGCCCATTATAATAGTTGTATAATGAAGCGTAAGTTTCCAGCTGCTAAAAAGTCTCGTTGATTTTTGGCATTTTTTTTTTTTTTTTGGTGGCAGTGCCTTCCATATAAAAGAATATGTCGAACATACATACATACTTGGTATGGAAAAAATGCGAAACACCTTCAACCAAAAAAGGTCTCAAAACTCGACGGGATTTTTTTGTCAACTTGGGCTTTATTATACCACAATTTAATACGGTTTTTACATGAGGCGAGTTTACAAGCAACTTTTAGTTGAAAATAAAAATCGCCTGGTGTGAACGGCCTTTCAACTAATCGCCTCTAAAATTGCCTGTAAAACCAAAACTGCATACCAACATTTTTTTAATTTTTATGCAATGTTTGAAATGTGAATTTATATGGTGTTTGTTGCATAACCAGCTAGACTTTTATATAAAAATTTAATAAACATGGAATAAAAAATAGACAAAGAGTCAAAACTGGTCAAAATATCGCACACCTATTATTTTGTCGACAACTGTACATGGTACATGCAAACATAAAAAAGCTCACGCTTTATCAGTGTTTTTCATTTCTATGCACACTTGGCTATGCAAGTGTACATGCACATGTATGGCTGTGTGTACAATTTTTAAATGTTCAATTTGTTTTGAACAATTCAGCTTTCACTTTTCCTTTCAATACCATTGTGTGTACATACATATGTATGTAACAATGATTCTTCCTTCAGCAATGCTTCAAGGTCAATAATTCCGATTTGGTCACAAAGGCTAACCCTAGGATATGCGTTATCCACATGTTACCAGCATCAATTAAAGCAATCGAAAACTAAATAATTAATAAATTAAAATAATTTTTGCGTAAAATACCGGCAATCTTATCCTAAAAAATTTACCTATTAATAACTCTCAATATTTTTCGGATAGTGTACTATTTTTCAGAAAAGTAAATTTGACGTTTATGTACATCTCGGTCGACCGGTTTGAACAAAGGATGCAGCAAAAAGACCCACACGCAACAGAGAAACATAGGAGAGGCGGGATCATGGAGTGAAGTTGCATGGCTTTATCAGGTATTGATTGGTCAGCTAGTTTTCATTAAAAATATTATTATTTAAGGAAAAGTGCATTACAATTGAATTTAGACAATGACTTTGGATATTTTACACCGTTCATTATGTACTCAGGGATGCCCCCCGAATCACCCAATTTTAATCCGATCGAGCATTTATGGGACGAACTTGAAATCCAGATAAGGAAGCATATTACTTAAAACAACCGATTAAGGTGGGCCCTAGCATGTCGAATACTAGTTTAAATAGTTTTAATTAATAAAATAAGTATGCTGTTTTGCAGAGAAATATATTTGTTGCAATTTGTTTCTGTTTTACATATTTTTATATACATACAATAAGTATCATGTAAGGACGGAAACTTTTGTCTATGACTGTATTATTTGAAAAATTTAGCGAGTTATTTCATTGAAAACTTGGCGTCGATGTAGAATAGGCAAAAATAAATGGTGGTTAATAAGCTATGTCCTCCTATGTTGTATTTAGAAATTTCTATGCAGCAATATGTTTGGCCATTCCATAAAAAAAAAAAAAACTAGTAAAGAATCGAGCACGGAAGACCTATTGCTTCAAAAGATCCGAAACAATGGCTCGAGTTCGGCCTTTTATTTTATAATTTGGCGACTGGGTAGATATCGCACATTTAATAATACAGAGATTCAACTCAAAATTTACGTTTTAGGAGATTTCGTCAAACAATTAATAAGCTTGATAAGGAGAATGAGTTCATCGTAACAGATTATTAAACTTCCCAAAAATGGCGAAGATATGTCTTTTCACCTATCTTTTGGTATACCAACTGGATGAATTGATCAAACTTTGGCTGCGTTTTCTCACAAATTTTAAATTTTGAAATAATTCTGTATATTATTAAACATGCGATATGTGCATATGTATTCCTTTACTAAATATATGAACATGCAATTAGTCATATGCTGGGAAAACTGTCGCATTATAAGTGACGTACTACCAAAACTATTTAAATAGTTCAACGAAAAGCAGCAACAACAATTTATGTGAGTAAACACACAAGCAAGCAAGCAAAAGCTCATTTCAATCAGCGGACCAACCAGTCGGCCTACTAGCTATTGTGGAATATGAAATAGTAAAATGTTAAGAAAAACCTGTTTTTAAGCATCACAGATAACACACACACAGAGGCCTTCCGATCACGTTAGCACCGCGAGTTGTCCAAACAAATAGCCCCCCTCCAAAAGTCGAAAGAAAATATTCTTCAGGCAGATTGATCGTGCGTACATACATACATACATATACCTATCGATATATGCATATGTACATGCATGAAAAGCGTATAATTGGAAGTTATATAAAGTGTTGAATGAAGCCCCTATTGCGCTACATATATACTAAACAGCTCCAGTGTACCGAAAGGGAATATGTATACAATACGAACGATTTCCATATGTATGTTAATGATCATCTGTGTCAACAAAAGCTGATGGACTAGTAAATTCCTAAGATATTTAAATGATGGCATCACAATTTTAAGCACATGAAACACGCAACTTAAAATATGCATACGCACAACTCTGCGCCGGTTTAGTAATGAAGCAATTTTTTCAGGAGACACCAATAGTTCACAAAATATGCATTATTCCCACCCATTATGCATTGATACTACTCACCTTGATGATCAGTTCAATTTCAGGAACATCTCCATTACTTGTGCCATTGGTCTCTTGAGTATTCTCAACTTCCGACATCTTGGAAACGCGTGACGTATAAAATTCGCACTTGTTAAAACGAAAATACAGGCCACAGAAAATGAAATCCACAAAGAATTTGTTTGTGAGCCTTAAATATGATTCTGATCTTGCTATTGTTTAATCCAAACTGAAATTAATTCGCTTTGAGTAACTTAGAGAACAAATGGTGGTAAAAATTAACCACCTTTTCAAATGAAAATTACTTATTATTCCAATCAATCTCGCGAAACATACGCCTTTTGCCGCAATCGTCGCACAATACTTTTATCTTTCTACAGAATATTGCCAACACGAACTAAAAGCAACGGAAAACCAGAGTTGCACCAAATGTCACTATTATAATTATCTACTTTAACTCTAACAGGGCGTTTTCACAGCCATTAGTGATCCAATTATGCAAGATCCCCAAGATGATATAAAGGGCCCTGTCACAGGGTCAGTAATTATCACGATATTTGGATCGCGATCCATAGTGATGGATTGATGGATCGCGCACGAATGCTACATGTTCAATATTTGTCGCGTCAGTATTTGCATAATTTTATTGCTGAACGGTTATTATGACGCAAGAAAATATTTTTATATTGTACGTACAATTTACAGATAATGCATTCCATAATTATTTTAAAATTTCCAATGTTAATTAAAATTTTTTCAATTTGTTTTGAAAGGTTTTAAGCGCCGAGAGTGAAGACAGAGCGAATACGTTTTCGACGTTCGCATTATGAGGATAAAAAAAGTACTGATGTACTGTATGGATCGCGTTTTGAAAGAGCTACACGTTCAATATTTATTGACGATATTGCGATCCGCGATCCAGAGCTCAAATTTTTTAGAGATGTTGCGATATGGATCGCGAATCATCAATACTGCATGCTACACCGTCAATAAATATCGCGATACTTGGATCACGTCAATAAATACTGACCCTATTACAGTGCCCAAAGGAATAACGTAATTTTTTGGCTGATGTTTGTAGTTTCGGCGACATGTTTTTTTAATTAGCCAAAAGCAAATTTTGAGCATACATTTTAATTATATATGAATAAAACATTTTTTTGAAAATCGGTTAAGAATTACTGAAATAAACTACCGTCCCACGACAGTCAGGTCTACGTAAACGCAACGACCCAGACTTAAGCCCAAAATACAATAACGCAGTGACAGTGGCAGGGGCAGTTTTTCGAAATCAGCTATTTTTTGGAAAGTGTGATGTTCAATAAAGCGACTCACAACAGGTTCTTTCCCGTACGCAACGCGGTATCCCGCGGGCGCACAAAATAGCCCAGAAATAATTCCCTTACTCAACAATATGGGTAATATAGAGCGAAAATTGGAACGTATTGGATCGTAACATTCTTCTTCTTCCTACCCGAAACAGCCCGGACTTTTTCCCCGGATAAAAATGGATAAAGCGTCAAAGTGCATATCAGCTGTTTTGTGTTCACATATTGCCTTCACTTACCTGGTGCTTACCAAATTTTGGAAACAAAAATTCAATTTTCAAGAGTTTGCATTTAAGCGACAAAAACAAAAACAACGCGAATAAGCTGTTTCTCAAATTCTGGGCACGAAATGTGGTTTTTTTGCGTTCCCGTACTTCTGGATTATGTTCCATTTTTGAGAGCAAATTTTTCGATTATTCTCTAATTACCGGACCCGGTCCGGTTTATTAGGGACATAACCCACTATAATTTTTACGGAAAGTATTGCTGATAGACTCATAGCATTATATATGAAATTAATCATCTGCACCGAATATTTACAAACGGCAATACTGTGATATTTTTTTAGATAAATTAAGTTTTTAACCACATTGAACACACTCTAATAAACGTCATATTTATTGTATAAAATAAACAAAATATTTGTTTTGGTTTTTAATTGAATATACTAGTTTTCGTATAATAAATACGTTTAAAATCATCAAATGTCACTATTTCCTGCGTATACCAATGTTGTGCAAGATCTAAGAAACGATGAAGGGCCAGAAGATACTCCGACCACCTCGTCTACATGGTTGGCCAACAGCAGTTTTCCTTTAGAAAACGATGATATAAAAAATTTGGAAAATGTTGATATAATTGAATCAAGTACTTCATCTAGCGAAAATGAAGTTGAACTCTCGCAATCATCGCATCAAAAAAAGAAAAAGCATAAAAGGAGTAAGAAGAGAAGAAAACTCGAGCATGATTGTGAAATTAAATTAATAGCCCCAGTGTTGGAATTTAGTGGCAATGAGGAGTACTACATAGATAAATCTAAGACGAAACAATTCCTTTCTATACGTACTTTGCATAAACCCGCATGTCCTCGGTACAGGCATTCATTTGGCCACATTTTGGGAGCTAGATTTTGGCACAATTCAAATGCCAACAAAAAGTCTAGTAAACGCTATTTTCTAGCAAAGGTAAAAGCTTCCAGTGATCAAAATTATAGTTCAGTTTTACCTCTAGACGAAAATGAATATAATGCACGAATGGGTCAATTGAATCGAAAAACATTGGAGGCCTCTTGCGATGTGCAAGTCTGGCTCGACTTATTGTCATTGCAGGATCAAAATCCATACAAATGGTCACGACTTTTGCTAGCTGAGAGAAAATTGGACATTATAAATCGTGCATTAGCTCGCTTTCAATGCAATGAGCAATTATATGAACAATACATTGATATTATTAACGTCACCTATCCTTCCTTTGAAGTGACAAAAATGTTGGATCGCTTGTTGCAAAAAGACCTTTATAGCTACACATTATGGACGGCGCAGATAATGACAACCCAAGGTTCGATGGCAAGATGTATCGTGCCGGACGTACTTCGTATCTACGAGCGTTGCATGTCTAAAATGCATCACGCCAAGCAAATGAGCACACAATCCTTGGCATTAGAGAACCGTGATTCAGATAATGTAATGCTGCGTTTATTCAATAATTGCGCACTTTTCCTTCGGCAAGCGGGGTTGTATGAGCAATTCATTGCATTGTTAAAGCTTGCTCTTGAACTAAATGTTTCAACAGATCATTTTAAAGCATTTGCTCCCTTGGAAACTGACCAAAACACACTAATTGAATTCGAAGAACTTGTTTTGCAATCAGGGTTACCTATGAACGAGATATGGCTTCGTGTCGAAAAACTGAGGCAAGGTTTTAATTTTTTGCCTTTCCCAGATAAGATTAAATGCAATGATCCACAACGTATCGTGTTCAACGAAGATATTTGCCACTATATCTATCCGTTAAATTCGCGAGACAATGCTTTCTACCTGATACTGCTAATTTTACGGTTACTTAAAGTACCCTTTATTCAGTGTGAAGGAATGGCAGAAAGGTTTAGCGCACATCTGGAACAAATCGGAGAGTCCGATGCAATTGAAGATACATTAACAGTTTGTATTCAACGGAATTTCGCAATTTCACAGGAGCTACAAAGAGAATTTCAAAAAGGAATTTACACACTAGCTAAGGAAATGGCTGTAAGTCCTACATTTTTAAGTAGCACCATCGGCCATGACATCTACATTCGTTGCATCAGTAATTTCCTACTCGAATGTGCTGCAACCTATTCAAATATTGATAAACGAAAGCGCGATCTCTTTATTGTACTCTGGTGCCGTTTTGAGCGATTACTGTTGATTCTCGAACGATGTGGTTCCAAAATGAATAGTGAATATATAAAAGAGGGGCGAAAGCGCTTTAAAAATCTACTTAAGCAGTCACCTAATCGCAACGTTTTGCTTTTATATACTGAATTTGCCATTTACGAATTTGAATCTTTAGATCAATCTAAAAATATGGACTCAGTAACGCACATATTTGAAAACCTAATTGCCTCACATTCCGCAGACGAAACACAAGCATCAGATTTATGTTACACCTACGTTACATTCGCGGAAATGCTTATCGGGAATGGGAGGCAAAGCAACGCATTGCAAATACTGATATCTTATGCTTTAGGTAGCAAGAGCCAAAATGATGAATCAATTGGATCTGGAAAAAAGCTTGCAGCACTACAAAAGATCACGGAAAAGTTAGAGCAATACATTGCAATCGAAAAAAACGTTGAAGTCATGGTACTGGAGCAGTATTTATTGCCTGATTATACTGTATCGTTGTTGAAGGTGCGCGTGCTAATCCAATGCCTTATTGGACAAAAATTGGATGCAATAAAATATATGAATAAACTACTAAATATATTTCGTGGTATCAATGATAGGCATAGGTTTCTACGTGAACAAATTCTGGAGCTATACGTGGCTGCACTGCAAATAACTTGCCCAAATTGTGTTGTGCCAAACGCATTAGTGCGTGACAAAGTTTTTGCTGCTCTCGCTGAGTTTCCTCGGAACCTATTTCTCCTGCAACATTGTGGCATGTTGAGCTCACAGCCTTGGTTTCGAATAAGAACTGCTTTTCTTCGTGCCAAACCGACGATATTGTCAGTGACATTTTTAATTGTTTTAGCGCGTTATCGGTTCCTTAAGATGAACACCGATGAGTTATTTGCAAATGATGGTATATATGTTATTGAATGGGATAAGCGATGTAATGAATTAATCATACGTAATCGTATTCTGCACGTTTTTCAAACATTGTCAAATGATAACCTGACTCAATCAAAAACGAGAAGGACATTGCTAAGGAATGCTCTCTTTTGGCGATTATATATCCGATTTTTATCTGACCAGTGCACTGATTTTGAGACGAGCAAAAGGTGTCTTTTGACTGCTTTAGATGAATGCCCGTGGAGTAAAGCGCTATACCTGGATGGTGCGACATATGTGCCACAAGAGTTGACTCATTTGCAGGACCTAATTATTGAAAAGCAGCTGCGGATATACGCACTGCCCGAAGAGCTTGAGATTCTACGTGGAACTTGAACGATTGATTACTCTAGCAGCCAACGCTCAAACATACCTTTAGTACTGATATTCATAACAGTCACTAAATAATAATAATAAATACATACATACATATAGTTTATGTAAATACATTTATGCCTGTTATTTTATTTATGCAATTTGCATATTTACTGCATTCCTGATATGCAATACATATACATACATACATGTGTACATATAGAGATGTAAAAAATGTTGACAAATAAATACATATTTACATATGTATATACATACATAAAGTTTTATATTTTTTAATAGTTAGATATATTTATTAGCATATATAGTAAATATAAAAGTAGGTACATTACATATGTACATATAACGACGCGAATATCTTCTAATTTGGAGGATTTTTTTTTTTATTAATGGTTACTATTGATGTATCAGCAATATGTGTCTAAAGGAAGTAAAAAAGAAAATAAGTGTCCAAAGAATGCAAAATGGAAATTTCCACTGATGATAGCAACTGAGAATTATTTCTTGCGTACTCTATGCATGCGCATAATTAGGAAATTTTCAATACTTCTCATGATCACGGTTTTTTTAAAAGTTATTGCAGCTGTATAGCCATTCTTTTATGGCGCCAAGTGGATTTAGCAACAGTTTTGAAGAAACAGCAACAAAAGCTGCAGAAACAGTTAGAAACAAGTAATTAAAAAAAAAATATTAAAACAAGGTTTTATTAGAAAAATCGACCACCACACCGCACCACCCAACGACTAAATTCCTTTGGAGTTATTTCTTTCCATTTAAGTAATATAAGGTTCTAAATATGAAACAAATCGGGATGTTTCAAATATCTCGACTCCTGCGCCACCTATTGTATTAATTCATCTTTCATATTGCGTTGTCATCAGGTTCTAGTCAGGTTTGATGTTTCCAGTCTCTAGCTCAGCGGGAAGGTGAATAAAAATTGATTGCAAGATTTGATTAATCAAAATGTCAGCGGCAACCACAAACATGAAGTTACCATCTGAAAAACCATTTGAGCCACTGGCAACGAAACGACGCGATTTCTCATATTCCCTTTTGGTGTTGCTTGTTTCATTTACACACGGCGACTTTTTGGTATGCAATTATTGTTGTCGGCTGTGAAACGCTAACTCAATTTACACAGGCGAAAGAGAGCACAAAGCGTGTTACCCGACACAAAAAGTTTTGCTCCACACAAAAAGTCGTTTACTTGCCAGCTAGAAAAATATCCGTGAACGTATCCGAGAATATACGAAAAAAAAATCCGTATAAAAATCGAATATTTCTTCCGTTTTCCGATTACATTTTCAGTCGTTTTCCGGTTATGTTTTCCACTGTAATGAAATTTTTCTAATTAATTTTTCGTTAAATTAGCTTTTGTCCTGAACTTCACAAATGCTTTTTCATAGTTACTTAAAAACCAAACAAGAAACAAATGCATTCATTGCAATTTTATTTAAAACAAATGCTTTTAAAGTATATCATTTTAATATTTTGCGTCCGCTGGCAATCGAACCTGAGACCTTCTGAGAGGTACTAAGTATTAGCATTCGCCTCTGCAAACTCAGCTAGAGTTAGAACATGCATGTACATAAATGACAGCATGTTGATTTTTTTTTTTTTTAATATTCGTAAGGTTTTTCGAGCTAAATTTTTTTGTTAATTTTCCATAAAAATACCGTTCAAGCTTTAACCAAACCATATACAAAGTTTAGCAAAACTTTACACAAAGTTTAGCAAAATTCAACAAATTTTAAACTTTTTAATTTGAATCTCTAGGACACTTTTGAGTATGCAGTTTTATAGCCCATACAATTTTAGTCTTATGAAGTGGAACGGCTGAAAATCCCATGGGTTGAAGTCCTATCTCAAAGAAAGAAAAACGAGCTCATCTCGGTGAAAATTCTCTCGGTTGGTGGAAAACTAAACTAAAATACGACAAATTGACAGAACTGGCTCGCAAATATTTGAGCGCTCCGCCCGCCAGCGTTACAAGTTAGCAATTTATCAGTGCAGTCGGCCTTATATACGAGCCTCTAAGAAATCGCCTCATGGGAGAAAAGGCAGAAAAATAACTCTTTTTGAAATATAACACCGTGCGACAATAAATTTTACACACGAAAAAATCAATATATTCACAAAACTGGGGGCCAAATATAGTAAAACTGCGTTTTTAGAATTCCTCTCTGACGTCAGATTTTTTTTTTAAAGGACTTCGGAATTTCTAGAATTTGATTGAATAAAATAATTATTCAAAAGTTTATATAGAGGGCAAAAATGTTTTTGATTAAATTTTTTAGTCTTTGAGTATATAAATAGAAATTTTTGGGATTAAGAAAGTATAAGTTTACTGGTATCCTTTTCAACGATACCATTTTTTTTTAAATCGGTTTGTAATTTTCTTGTTTGAAATATTTTTTTTATAAAAAAGGCATTTTTTGCTTTCAAGTGCTTTTTCTCAAATTTTTATATACGAAGTATTCAAATATGCACACCAGAAGAAAGAGTATTTAATCGCCTTTACATCGATACGATCGGTTAGTAATTTTTTGTTATTTTTTTTATAAAAAAATTGGTATTTTTTCATTTTAAGTGTTTTTTCTCAAATTTTTATATACGAAGTATACAAATACGCATATCAGAAGAAGGAAAGTTTGATTGCGTTAACAACGATACCAACCAGGGACGTGAACCGGTTGAAAAATTTGGTCGGTTCGGTTCAGCGGTTCGAACCGTTGTTGCACTTTTGGATTAGTTCGTCAAAGCGGTTTTTTTGGTCTTTGAACCGAGGTTTCGGTTCGGTTCAACGTTTCGAAACACAAAAAAATAAGGCGCAAATTTAAGTGTCGTGTCAAGTGCAACAACGCGAAAAGTTAAGGGTCAAGTGAGATGGGCTGCCTTTACATTTGATATTGTCACATGGTAAAAAACATGGTAGGTATTACCATGTTTAACAAAATGAAGAAAAAGTGGGTACATTTATCTATTGAAAATTGGTTGAAACGAACCTTTAAACCTTTACAGAAAATGGTTCGGATTTCGGTTCGGATCAAACCTTTTAGGGAAAATTTCGGTTCGGTTAATGGTTCAGTTAGTTAATAGAAAAATGCGGTTTTCCGGTTCAAAACCGGTTTGGTTCAAAACCGGTTCACGTCCCTGATACCAACTTTTTAAAAATCAGTTCAAAATTGTTTGAAATATAAGGTTTGTAATTTTTCGAAGATCCGACCTTTGTCCCTTATATCACCTGTAATATAAGTTTGCAAAACAATTTAAATAAGAGCAAAAGCCGGTCTACGAATAAAAAATAATTTTTTACCAAAGATCCTATTTCGAACTTCGAAGGCCCATATCTCGATTTCGGAGGCTAACTTCGAAAAACGGAGAAATTACTTTTTACCTATGACTCAATCTCTTAAAACAAAGTGGTTTGGTCCAATACCCAGCGGTGTGCTGTTCAGTGTAGTGTAGTAGGATATTCAAGGATAAAGTTTTAAAAGGACATTTTCAACATTTATTCGTCCTGGTGCTGCAAAAAATTAAATTTTTTTAAATTCTACAGAATTTTTCCTTTTAACTGATACCCATATTGTTACTCTACAATGCACCAAATCTTTTAAATAATTTTTTTATTCAATCATATCCTGGAAATTCCGAAGTCCTTTAAAAAAAATGCTGACGTCATAGCGATTAATTAAAAACGCAGTTATACTATATTTGGCTCCTAGTTTTGTGAATATATTGATTTTTTCGTGTGTTTTAAATTTTTTTGGTTTTTGTCGCACGGTGTAGTCTGTGTTTTTATAAAAAAAAAAAAANCTGGAAATTCCGAAGTCCTTTAAAAAAAATGCTGACGTCATAGCGATTAATTAAAAACGCAGTTATACTATATTTGGCTCCTAGTTTTGTGAATATATTGATTTTTTCGTGTGTTTTAAATTTTTTTGGTTTTTGTCGCACGGTGTAGTCTGTGTTTTTATAAAAAAAAAAAAATTTAAATGGGATAAACAAAAAAAATTTTGAAACTTGTCAACATGTGGTGCGTTTATAATTTTTACAAGAGGTGTATACATATCGGGGGCTTATATTGAATACCCTCTATCTGCACTTCTTACAAAAATGGGGTTCTGATATAAAAATCCACCTAAGATATTAATGTCGACCTTGTATAACGCTTGACAGAAGAACTTACTTTTAAATTGCAAAGTCAAAATCAATATCAGCGATGACTGATAACTCCCAGATGGGTTCTAACATCACAAAGTAGATTTTGTGAAAATTCCAGATAGAGGGTATTGAATATATGTAAGCCCGCGATATGTATTTGTACAACTACTGCTACGCACTAAGAACTTTAGCTCTTCAAGAATTTTTACTTGCAGTATAGATAAATGCACGTACTACATACAATAAAAAAAAAAACCAACCCGTGTCAGTTTTTAAATTTATTCAGCAAAAATGTTCAGCTCGATGTTCTCTCTAAAAAAAGATATGCCCAAGTTTTTTGTTGCAAAAATGCTGTTGGGACCGTGTTACTTTATAACTTTGAGCTTCAAGAGTAACTGCAACTTTTTGGCGAGGCGCTCCTACTTCTTTGAGTGTTTACCATTTAGCTTCCCTGAGGTGATTTCGAAGCCATGGACAATATCCACTTAATTGCTGATTATGCCAAAGCTATAATCACATCAAAGTGTTGTTTCGTATGTACATACTTAGGTTGAATTATACGGCATAATACGTCTCAAAACCATCCCATAACCCATCCGCCGGGGAGAACTTGCTTTTTTTATTTATGTTTTATCGCTTTTGTCGAACAGAGAGAAAAAAAAATTGTTTACACCAAAATTGCTCACACTATCATTGATATACATACATACATACATACACATAGTAGTAGCGCCTACATCATGCACTACAAATAAATAAATATTATATGTTCATAGATATATCATTATATTGCGCTCTTATTGATTAAGAGCGCCTAGCTAGACAAGCTGCTCGTGAAATGGAGTGGATTAATTTCCCTTGATTTAATGATTTATTTAAGAAGTATGTATGTATGTATGGTTATGGTTAGGTGGTTGTATGTACATATGTATGTGTGTCTATACATATATATATAGCTGCATGGGTTGCGCTCCCAGCTGACCGCCAAAGAGCGTG